GCTGTGTCTGGATTTGGACAAAACTGAGGGCAAAAGAAAATGAATAAATTAGTTTGAAGAATGCTACTAAAGCTTGGAATGTGAACCCTGTACAGTATTAACTGCACAGAATTTTTTGGCTTCAGAATCAACCTTAAATTATTTGGCAAGTAAGCTACACAAGCCTGATACAAACCACAAATACATTTGACTTCTGCCCAAATAGTCTTTATCCTTTCTAATTTGTTGCCGGATGTCATACTTACCCATTTTTAAAGCAATTAGATTTTCCTTTTATTTTTTTTTTTCCAAAAAGAAATTTACAGTTTGTGGTTCATTTTTGTTATAAGTGCGACTATCTGAAATGAAGAGGAGACTCATAGTTCTTCAGCACAATGTGTAGATGCAGTGTTTTCCTTTGAAATGAATACAATTTCAAGATACTGCTGTGAGTTTAAACAATAGCAAATTGCCATCTGAAATCTGTAGAAGTTAAAAAACAAAAACCTAACAAAAAAAAATCTGAAAATTGAATCTGATGGTCCTGGGCTCTTCTCCCTTATCTGAGATCCCTGTCAAAATTGGAGAGCTCTGTATGTTTCATGAAACAAGATAATTGGAAAAAAAGTTGGATTTAATTGGATTAAAAGTTGGATCCAATTAAATTTCTGGATAGTTTTCTGGGGTAAAAAAATTCTCTAATCTGTGAGCTGTAATTTTCATTGTAAAGTTTCATAGAAAATTGGCAAATGTTTTCTATCTAGATACATTGTATATGAAGAGAAATAAAAGTAGAAGAAAAATTAACCAGGAGTCTTTTAGTAGGGAACCATGACTGTGGAAAGAAAATTATATAAATTTTAGGTGTATGGTATTTTCGTGAGGTAGGATTTTACTCTTGATCTTTTTGTTCAGAGTCTTTGGACATATCAGCTACCGTTCGGACTGGGAGCTGGTGAAGGTGGACTTCAGACCATCCTTCCCCAGGGAGTGCACTGATGATGACTATGAGTCTTGGGAGCTCACAAATCTACAGGTATTCATGGTCTTATGTTCACTGCCACAACTTTTCTGTAGCTTTCAGATTCATGTAGGGCTGTGTGCTAGGAAAATGTTTTCAAATAGAATTTGGATACTATATCCCCAGCTTTGATCTCCTTATGTTAGTATTTGCTGATTTTATGTTAGTTTAAAATTGGAGAGGATTTTGTGTTCCCTTTGGTTGTGTGGTCTGTGTCCTGGGAGTGGTGGAAGTATATCTGGTGGTCTGCCTTAATAATAGGTGGTCCTGCTGGATTGGGAAGCATATACATAAACTAAAGTGTGTAATATTGATTGAAGCATTTTCAATATGCATTCATGTGTTCTGCCAACTTCCTGACCACATACTGTACTCATGTATAAATTGCCATAAGTAAAGCCCATTCCAGAGGTAATTTAGGATCTCAGTGGACCAATCAGGTAATAGAGTCCAGTTGTTTAGGGCACTACCATTGCAGCAGTAATGCATTAAGGCTGTGCTAATCCTGGGGCTCTGGCCAAATCCAATTTTGGGAAGCTACATTCTCTATACAATGTATTGATTAAAGAGACCAACACGAGGGATTTTTTTTACATTAAATGGAATATGTCATATTTATTCATAATAATTGTGATTATTATATGTTGCTTCTTCCAGTACATTTGTTCTCTCACTTTCTGCAGAGTTGGGTTTTTTTGCATACTGCTCTGTGTTTCTCCAGCTCTTATTTGCTAGTTCTCGTGCCTAATTTTACATTTCATTTTTGGGAGTGCTGCATATTTACAAAGAACGTTGTGGAGATCTGAGCCTCAATAGTAACAGTATCATGGGATATTGGCATTGAAATGTCTTTCAGAAATTGGAAACTACTAAAATGACTTTGACAGAGTACTTGCAGCTGCCCAGTTACCAGTGGAGTGTGTTCAGACAGTCTTCATTCTACCATGAAGTCCACATGGTTGATGCTTCATGTTGACCACAGACATGAGACATAGTGATTTAGATAGAACTTCAGCCATCTGCATCCATGCAGAATTTTTCAGTGGCTAGCTGTAGGGTTGTGACTAGATTGTGCACACATGAAACATCAGTTAAATTGCACTTGCCTTTTCATGTACATCTTTAGATTTTTGCCCTGAAATATAACGTGTGTTACAACTCTGTAATGGCCTGTTAGAGGACAGCAGTGGATATGAGACCTTTCTATACCTATGCATTTGATACAAGTTTATAGTCTTGGCAGCAAGACCAACCTTTCTCAGGACAACATAAGGTCATGTCTGTCTGTGATGTGGGTTACGGTGCGCAGTAATTCTGGTGCTTTGATGTTCAGGGTGATCGCTGCATTATGGGCCAGCAGAGGAGCTTTCGAAAGAGGAAGATTTCATCGTGGTGCATTAAAGGGAGAAGTTTCACATCAGCTCTCGCATCCAAAGTTTGTGAATGTGTGAACTCTGATTTCTTGTGGTAAGTCTGTCTGTGGACCTTTTTGTTTATTGCTATTTACATAATTACTTAGTGTTTGCAATGGGTTTATTTTCCTCCTTTTGTCCCTTTCCCCACATAGCCATCTATAAACAAATTTAAATTAATTAAATTAATAAACAAATGCTTTTGCATTTGAATTTGTTTAAAAACACTGCTGTTTTAAGTATTTGTTTCACCTGACTGAACAAATCCTGATGTTTTTCTCTATTGATCAAGACTTGAAAAATGACCACTGGATTGATTTATAAGGCAAGCAAACCCTTTCTATTTGCAAATGAAGCAAAAAAAATCCAAAAGAAATGTGTTGGTCTGAGTGGCAAAGGAAACCTTTTAAAAATCAAAGCTACCAAGAGAGTTCATTTTGCAGAACTGACACAGTAATTACAAACAGTTTTTCCCCCAAGTGTATACAACTGCCGTTGAAACCACACTTAGAACAGAACTGGCTTCATCAACTTGTATGTTCAGGTGGTAGAATAATACTAAAAAAAGATCTTTTTACTCTTAAAAAAGTAGTCTCCTCCACCCCAAGTTAGACTGCTGAATGAAGCAAGGGTAGTAACACACTTGGTGTCGATGTTTTTCAGTGATTATGGGTTTGAGCGCTCTGCACCTCTGGAGTCTAGCAGATGCTTTGCTGACTTTTGGTTTAACCCAGAAGCCCCTCCTGAAGACTGCGTGCTGGGACAGGCATACACCAGCAGCACTGGGTAAGCTGATTTTGTGTTCAACTGGCTTGCAGAGGCTTCCAGAGAGGAGGAGAACATTCCAACCAAGAGTCACAAAAGCGGTTTGATGGAAATATAAAAAAGGAAAAATGTAAAAACTGGGAAATGCAAAAGTTCTGACTCTGACTTAGAGCACATGCAGAAGCTTCCTCCAGACTAATGAAAGAGAAATGTTGCTTTACATGTTCACTGCAGTTAAAAAACTAATCCATTTGAGAAGAGGGGGAGCTGTCTTGTTCTCAGGGTTGTTTTGATGGTTTTTTTTTTGTTTGGATTTGGTTTGTTGGGGATTTTTTTTATGTTTTGTAGCCATTGTTACACTTCTGATAGGAGTGTCCCTTCAGAGCCTTTTCTTTTAGCCCGTTGCTTGGGTTTGGACCAGTTTTCAGTTTGAATGCAATGAATTACTCTGAGGAGCCAGTAACATCTCACTGAATTTCCCAGTCTCTCACTTCCATAGGAGTAAGGAGTTCTGTAGAGAATAGAGTCCTTTCCTGTCCATATGGGACACTCAGAATCAAAGGAAAGCTTTAGTAACTGTAAACAATACTGCATAGAATATACACTACAATGTAGTCTGACGTCTGTGCTGAGAATAACTTGCAGCTGGCATCTATTCTGGCTTATCATAACATCATCTCTGTTGGTTGTGAAGATGAGGACCAAATGATGAAATGTCAAATCTGGCAATAGAATCACGGTCGCTGTGTATATTTGCCTTACCAAGGAAAATTATGCCTTTTGGGTTGCGGCTGACAGCTGTGATATACAGAATAGGAATTCAAAATAGTGAAATTTGACTCTGATTTTAAAGGATGTTTAAAAATAGCATACCTGAGTGAAACTGATCTGTAACTAATTACTGTACACATCCAAGTAATTAATTATTATTTCCTTAAGTGTTAGGCTTTTCACTCTTTTATACTGTTATGTTGAATAAATGCTTTAAGTGTTTTAAGAAATGCATAGATTTGAGAGCAGCAGTTAAGCAGTTGGTTCTGGATTAATGCAGAAGCTGCTTGGTCTAATTTCTTCCTGATCTTTGGGGTTTGAGCCAAGACCTCTAGAGCACTGGGGACTGTTGAATGCTAGGAAAAGGTGTGGCAGAGGTGCCAGCAGATTAACTAGCTCCTGGAGGACTGGTGAGGCACGTTTCTCAATCTGAAAAGGCAGACACTTCCAATGCATACAAGTGAAATCCTCATCATGCTCCACACTCTCTTTCTTCAACAGGTTTTACTTAATAAAGGCAGCATCTTTTATCAACAAACATCATGAGTTGGTTTTGATCATCTGCAATCTTGTCTGTGAACCCAAGAAATATTCATTAACTACTATCACCCTTGCATTCGGTGCCTCTGATGGCATTCTCCTGCTCGCCTCCCATTCACTCTGCTCACTGCTTACTGGTTTTGCAGGTACAGGAAAGTTGTTTCTAACATATGTGAAGGTGGTGTAGACCTGCAGCAGAACTTAGCACAGCATATGTGTCCACTGATTGCTCCCAAGGGACTTCAGATCAGCATCAGAGAAGAAAGCCTGGCTGTTAGGCCTGGGGAAGACATCACCTTCATCGTCAAACAAGAGCAGGTAGTAAGCAGTATTTGCTTTATGAAAGTTTCCTCCCTATTCTTAGGGTTCATTTTTCTCCTTCCTGCTTTGCTGCTGAATGAGGATTAATTTGTGCTTTGAGACAAAGATGAATGACTCTCTAAATATTGAAACTTCTGTTTTCAAGTGACCCAGACAATCCAGTAAGCTCAGTGAACCACCAAGTTCTCTCCACAGAACGGGATTTGCTCCTCAGCAGCATAGTCAGTCCTTAATTCTTAAAGACAATGGCCTCTTGGAAAATCAAAGGATCTAATTACCTAAATCTATTTGGACTGAAAATTTCAACTGCTATATCAGAGAACGGAAATGCAGAGAACACTTAATATTTTGTTTTAAATGTTTTTGAGAATCTGCCTTTCAAAAAGGAATGAGGCAAAGCTTTACAGAAATCAGCAAATAGCACAGCATAAGAACTTTTAATATGTATTAGTTGTGTTGCCAAAGACATGGTTTTTTCTGCTTATTGAGACAGACAATGCCCTAAGGCCCTCACCAACAGCAGCAAGTAACTTTTGGATGAATTGTTTGCCGTTGTTTTTGAGCATTAAGTTATAACTGCTCTGCTCAGGTTACCAGAGCATTGTACTTCCTGGCTAACCCCACTGATTTGGAAGAACTTGAAGAAAGTTCACACATTTTGGCAAACCTGTGTGATATAAATCGGGCACTTGGGATGTATTTCTGTAATGGAATCAAGCAGGTTACGTGCAGAGCACTGGCCTGCTTAACGCTTCACAGGCTCTGCGTCTTGATGCTTGCAGTGCCCCAACAGTTGTGTGGCAACTTACGCTGCTTTCTCTTTTTACAATTTATTTGGAAATATTTATTGTAAGAGTAGCACATTTGTTTGCAGATTAGACTCTAATGATTTTGATTGGCAGCTTGGTTTTTTTTTCCTACTGAAGCTTTCATGAATCTCTGTGGCAATATGTAAAACATTTAAAACTATTCAAAAATCTTCAGAAGTAAAGGATCTTGAAGGGAATCCCCTGCTGTTTTCTGATGAAGCTGTTGCTCCAAACATCCAACCGGAAGGCAGATTTAGAAGAAATGTAGCAGTTTGCTGCCCTCTACGGCTAAGAATAATATTTGTACTCAAATGTCCTTAGTGTTGCTTAGGATTTAATCTGTACAACAAAGTCTAATGAGAATTCATAACAATTACTCAGTTTATGAAACAGCTCTACTAGGATAAACCAGAACATATCACTTTCTCTGCTGAACAAAATTAATTTACTGGTTTATGTGAATGCCTGTAACTAGGTGCAAGAATGCCAGACATCAGGGAGTAAAGAAAGCAGGCTTCGAGTATGTTTGGGCAGTTTGAAAGTGACCTTAAAAATAATTATAACTATTTTTCCCAGATTCTGTTAGCTGAAAGTATGAATGAATAAATTATGTCATGACAATCAGCTATTTTGCATGGGAGTGGAAACCCCAGTTCCTTTTAAATTTCACTGCGTTTTCCGTATGTGACTCTTTTGTTATCTGTCCACAGCTCTCTGTCTTTCCTGGCTAGGGAAACAGAAGTGCAGTGGTGTTTTCAAGACAGCACTCTCATCTTTACACTAGGGAAGCTATTAGAATAAAACATTAAGAGAAGCTTGCATCTACTGGCTTTCAACACTGGTTTCTGTCTTACCTGGAAAAAATATGCATGTATACTTGTTAGCATAAGAAAGAGCAAACAAGAGCTGTTTGCAAGCTAATGTCATCTAAAAAGATTCCACTTACTGGCACATTGCTGGCAAGAAGACATCTCTTTTGCTTTAAACTTTAATAGCATATTATCTCCTCTGCTAAATTCTACCCATCTGTTGTCAAAAGAAAGATGCTATTTCAAAAAAAATATTTGCAGTGAAGAAGCTTTCAGGGTCCTTTATGTGTGTTGAAATATGGTGTTTAGGTGTTTGATAACCCTACAAGTTCCTTCTTATGGGTACTCTTTTACACTGTAAGTAATGCTCTTTCATCTCGTAAAACATGGAAGAGAATCAACCAAACTGAAAAATAATAAAAGGATAAAAAAACTACTATGTCTTCCTTCCCTTTGTAATGCAAGGGAATGAAAGTTCTGGGCTTTGCCTCCTTTGATTTTACATTAGTGCTGCCTTTTGGAATTAGGTTTTGATGCAAACCTGTTTCAGAGAGCATTTTATGGGGAAGTGAAGTGATTTTTGAATACTTTGATGGGTGTCAATCCTTCTCTGCTCTGATGGCCATTCAGGTCACCTGACTAGCATATGGATGTATATGTTCCTTTCCTAGAGACAGTGAAGATTTTTAAACCAGCACTGTGTTTTCACAATACGAAGGATTTCCTCCCAAGCCTGGCCCTGCAGTCTGTTTTAACTGCATGACTGCAATGGCTGTGTACTGTAAGCAGTGGGCAGGAACACAGAGCTGAAGACCGAGGAAGAAGCACAGCTTGCTAAGGCAGTGCTGCCAGGAGTATTGAGAAGGTGTTGCTGCTCACAGCTAAAGTGAATTTTCCTCTCATTCCATCCACATGGCCAGTCAACATAGCACAGGTTTGAATTCTTTCCTGAGCAGCCACACCAGGACATGAGTGGTGGGAACATGTTTGTCCTCTGACAGTAGTATCAGTCTTGCAGTATTTTAGGCCTGTGTTCGGGAAGTTACATTTAAAGGACCACTTAGCAGAAGTGCAGTGAGTTATAACTTACGTGAGGTGCTTAATGTAACAGAATTGTTTGGCTGGACTTCTAAACCCTTTCCCAAACTCTTCTCAATACTCTGCTTCATTAAGCATACATCTAATTTTGGAGTAGAGCGTGTTAGTTCTAGACATGCTGGTAGCTCTATATAATGCAGTAAAAAAAAGATGCCAGCTTGGATCTTCAAGGCCATATGGTTGACACTCAGGGTGTGAGGTTAGAAGGTGCCGTGAAGATGGTCTGAACCAATTAATTTTACTTTATAGTTGCGTAGGCTAGAAGCTCACTGGATGAGTGAGAATATACAAAAATAACAGTATTCAGTTGTTTGCAGTCGTATGAGCATCACTCCAGAACTTGGGGCTGCCCTGCAGCTTTGTGTTAGCTAATGTCCAGCTGCATTAAGGCAAGAGTGATGGTTTCTATGTCATACAACCTGATTAGTGGTCTGAGTTGTCTGATTTTAAGGTAGCGCCTTACCATGGAAAGTTAGTATTAAGCCTATTAATGCACACAGCATCTGTTACACTAAAATCTTTGCCATGAGGGCAGTGGTTTTACTGCAGCTATTGCAATTGAATCAAAATGTTTGGCTGGGGCTGGAAATGCTATGGTTATAGTCATGTGTCCTGTCTATTTTGGTTCTGGACATTTAAAATACTTTTGATGTTTTTTCCTTTCAGGGTGATATTTTGAATACCAAATACCAGGTAGATCTTGGAGATGGCTTTAGGGCAATATATGTGAACCTTACAATGACTGGAGAACCCATCCGTCACCGCTATGAGAATCCTGGGATTTACCGTGTCTCTGTGAAGGCTGAGAATGTGGCTGGACACGATGAGGCTGTGGTGTTCGTCCAAGTCAACGGTAAATCAGTTTTCTGGTTTTCTTACCTTTAATGCTGCATAAAAACCTTGTGACAAATATGAGGTAGTAAAGAAAATTACTAGTCACGATTAGGAAAAATGCATGTTTTTTCATTAACCTCATGCAATTTTGCAGTGCTGTATATTGTTAATACAGAGTCTTGTAAACCTGATGTATTAGGAGGTCAGAGTTAGTTTTGTTTGGAGATGGGAGAGGGATGGTGTATTAATCTTTTAAATAGCAAGCATGCCTCAGTTCAAATTTCAGGTTTGATCCATCTTCCTGACTGTAGACCCCTCTGGGAGTCATAGCAGCTAAAATTTAACACTTAAAGCTGTGCCTTTTTAGGAGCTTCTAGGTCCTGTGTGAAGCAAGTAAATAGATATGTTGAGAAATGTATGAGCACTTATATGATTTTAAAAGAGAATCAAAATTTCAATGTTTCTAAAAGTCCTGGTGATTATTCAAGCATTAGAACCTAGGTTTTGGTAGTTAATTCTGACAGTTTTAAAGTGGTACTTGGATATAACTTCATGTTGGCAAGCAGTATTACTTGACTTAGACTTCTCTGCCTTTCTTAATTAAGACCTAAAAAATCCGATCAAATAGATCTAAAAGAAAAGAATAGCATAGCAAAGGGAATATCATGCACCATCGCAAGCTTAATGTACCTCAGTCATCTCATAATTGAAATGAAGAAGGAAACTCATAACTGGAACTGAATTTTCCTCTTCCGTTGAGATTCAGGACAGCTATTGCTTTGGCTGTTTCCAGATGTGTCAAAATTCAGAAACAAGCAACATCAAAAGAAAAAGATACTCATCCTGGATTCTCTGGCTGTCTGTTGCCCTCTGCTGTGGGTGGTGTTTTCCATCCTAATCCCAAAGCAATGTATATTACTGGAGCCGCAGAAGGGCTGTGCACAGATCTGTGTGCTTTATGTCAGACTGGCTGGTGACTGCTGATATTGCTGTATTTTGCTAGTCAGAGTCCTTGAGTCCAGAGTTTCCAGTTCTGCTTTGGTTAGTAGATGGAGCACAGTCCATTAACACTAATGGACAATCTCCTATTAAAACCAAACAGAAAGGATCAGAATCAAATTCTCCACCTCAGTTTCATTATCTGGTTTTGTTGTGTTTGCTTTTTAAATCATTTGACAACTCCAGAGAGCTCAGATAAATTACTTGGGGCTTCACTGTTACTTTTTAGGAGCTTCTAGGTGCTGAGAAGTAGATTAAACACAGGAGCAGTAGATCTGTACAAGCAATGAACAGCAAAAAGCTCTGTGTAACACCCTTCTCTCCAGGGAGAACAACTTCTTACCATTCAGAGAATGACGAGAAGTGTCAAACCCCGACGGAAAGTGAAACAACCACTTTCTCAAACTGTGCTCCCAGTGTGGCCTACATCAGGATAAACAGCAGAAGTAAAAGATGTCATTGTGGTTTATGCAGTGGATTTACAAATTGTGGAAGCTGGAGGTATTTTTCACAAGTTAAATGAGTGGTGCATGAAGAGGACTTTGGTGCTGAAGTGCAGAGGCAGCAGACCACTGAAAGCAGACAGGGTCCATTCCTGAGCTCTACATGGTTGCTCCACATGGTCTAGAAGACCCATGGCAGCACATTACCCAGCCCACTTGAATACATACTTTCTGTGTGATTTACTCTGTTTAATTTTTTAAGTAAATTACAAGTTTTGAGGAAATTAGCTGGCACTAATTGAACTGCTATTTCTTCATTCTAGAGAAACACTAATAGCCCTTCAGGGATATTTTTCACTGTGAAATACCGTGAAAGCAGAAATGTCCATAGAGTCCATTTTCAGACTATCTCCACCTGGTGTATTCCCAGGGAATTTTTTCAGGGACAAATGGCAAAGGGAATATTTTTTACTGCTGCCAAGTTCTGTTGCTATGGGATGCCCTGCAGTGCAGGACAATTTTATGAGCTTTGGCCTGTCATCCTGATTATTCTTTCCGATCCAGATCACGTAATCTACAACTTGTTAATAAGCTGTAAAAAAAATGAGAGCAAGTCTGATAGTATAAACATGAGTAGGTAACCCAGAATAAGAAGAACTGAAGAACCAAACAAACATTTTATTTTTCAGGAAACCAGAATCTCTATACTGTGTGAATAATCAGGGAGCTTTGAAAACTGTACTGAGATTGTAGCTACATTAAGCAGAAATCATATAAGTCAACTTCATTCCTAATTCTATACACGTAAGGTGCTACAAAACTTGTTCAAATGCATTATGGAGTTGTGTGACTGAAAAGCAAAAGGAATCACAATAATTATTTTTAGCTCTTCACTGTAGAGGAATGGCAGAATCGTATTAACAATCATCATTCAAGCACCAAGTAACTTCCCCTCTAAAAATTTTGGAAAAGAAAGTCACCTTCTTCAGGAGCAAAACCAAATCTCAGAATAATCAGTTTCCTCTGGAAAAATCTAAATTCCTGGCAAAATCAAAACAGTGATGCAGAACCCTCCAGCCTTCTTTAGTTTGCCTCATCAGAAGGAAAATATGTTTCTAGGAGAAACAGATTTGATGGAATTCCTACAATTTCTGAATTTTCCTCAAGACATCAGCAAGAGGAGGAGCATTGTAACTCCATTTTGGTAAAGAAGCTATTGAAGAAGCCATTTATTTAAGTAGTCAACATGTCTTGAATTCACGTAGGTGCTTAAAGAGTCAATGGAGAGAGCGCAGAATGATGGTAAAGCCTTATATTCGGATGAAGCAGCACACGGGCTGGTTGAAGTGAGGTGGAAAAAGAGGATGTGCACAATTGGACAACTTGCTCGCAGAGAAGTTCAATCAGTTTAGTCAAAGTGAATTAGAAGTGAATGGGCAATGATTCAGTTCATGAAATAAGAGTGAGAAAAAGGCTTTGAACTGGTGTTAATTACCTTTAAGGTTGAACTGAGATGAAAGACCTTTGAATGAGTTAGAAGATACTGAGAATAGAACAAAAATGGATGGGTTAGCATTGATTCTGGGTAATGAATGCGTGTTGGACCATACAGCAGTTTAGTATCCCAGATAGATGGTGCAGCTGAAGGCAAGGAATTCTGGTCATCACCTTATACTATTATAAAACTTTAACCTTCAGACATTCTGGAAAAGATATACTCAGAAACCTCTGAGGGAAGGATTTTCTTTCAATAAAGTTATTGTACTATGAAGCAAAATACAACATTAAGAAGGAGATAAAATCATTGTAATGATACATTTCTTTTATACAGTAATAACGCTCGCAGCCTTCATAGGCAAAAATTCAGAAAGGAGCAAACTTATTCTAGAGGCATGTTTTGGAGTACAGAGGTTATCTATTTTGAGTTGCAAATCAATGCTCCCCTGATATACACATCTATTTTAAAGCATGAATTAATGAGAGCTTCTGTGTGGTGTGAGCCTAGCAGCTGATATTTTATAATGAAAATGCGTAGTCAGCAGCTTGCTTTTTTCAGTTTTCTGCTTTTTCCGTAGCAGTTTGAGATTTCTTAGATTTCTATTCATTTGATCTTTTGTTACTTAAAAAAAAAGGAAAAAAAATAAGCTGATTGCCATTTCCACTTTTTAACTGGGTTATCTGCTTATGTTTTCTGGAGTTGGACATGCACCAAAAAACTGTGCATCAGAGATCTGTGACATTGCTCTAGGAGCTTGTTTGTGGGTTTTATTTTTGAGGGGGACAGGAGCGAGGGGAGTTGGTTGAAATGTGGTCCTTCCAATTATGCCTGCAGCTTTCAACACAGATGTAAAAGCAAGAGGGAGGGAAAAGTTAATTCAGGACCTTATGGTGTGCAGGTGAGAGGCTTTGGGGCAAAAAGGTATTAATAAATTGATGGATTCTTGTTCAGTGATATTTTGGGAACTTTGTTCAGCTCCACTGCAGGCTTTAAATTTAGAAGTGGTTCCAGTTGTTGGGAGAAACCAGGAGGTGAATCTGACAGCCATCATACTGCCCAAGAACCCTAACTTGACAGTCTTCTACTGGTGGATAGGAAACAATCTTCAGGTACACGAATGGTTTTGACTGAGATTATTTTCAATCTCTTTCCAATAAAAGTTGAGTGACACCTTTTACTTTAATAGAAATGCTGCCATGTTTCATGACTTCTTTTAGACCGTCTTTCACTCCAAATAACCAGTTATATCTGGTGGAAAGCAGTATCTAACTTCCCTTCTTTTATCACATACATTTAAGGTGTTAATTTCCCTTTATTGCTACTTATGTGGAACTCCATGTTTCTCTTCTGGAATTGGTTTGAATTTCTAAACTGTTTGCTTTTGGAGGGAACAACAATCCTATTTCATTGCCTGCGTAAAATAACTTGGGGGGAGGGGGAAGAATTTGGGATCAGAGCATTGGTGAATGATGAAACTTGGATTTATGCAATTCTATGTTGATAATATTAATACTGTAAATTAAACTACTGTACAAAAAAAAATTACCTATACTTTAAATAGTCTAAAATAAACTGTCATATCAAAAATAAGTGGGATATCTAAAAGGATATCAAAACAGTGAAAGCACTCGAACAATGTAATGATATTCATTTAGGGACAGAAACTTTAGATAAACCTATCCTAGAACAATAGATATCCAAGTATTTCCTTGGGAATAATTTTTGTCTAGCTGGGTTAATTTCTTCTGAGATAGTTCTTTCAATAACAGATAAGTAAAATGTTTTCTTTATGAGGGAGACTAAGTATGACAGAGGAATGCTTCAGATAAGTGCAGTGAACTTTCTTCTTGTGAATGTGCTGTCTACCATGATCCCAGTTTGTATCTTTTCATTATTATTGCCATTGCTAGAACAGGCCCCATAGATGAATGTAGTCTTATGAAGGGTTTTTTAATTCATACAGATGTGGTCAGGGAAGAGAGTATCTCAGGAGATTATTGTGGGCTGGTGCACTTCTGTGGGTTGTGCTCTAAGCTGACAGAATTAATCTTTTTGACCTTGACTATACCCCATGTTTTTTGAGGCACATGGCTTGCTGTATATGATCTTGAGCCTGACTCAAAATACGTTTATTTCAGTGCGATTTGAATGAAAACCTAATACTCTACTAATTATTCTAAAAGAAATTTTTGCCCCATCTGGCAGCTATTCTGTTTGTAAGCATTTTATTTGGGGAAAGAAGCATCCTATATTGAATACTGTAATTGAACAATCTGATAAAATGTTGATTAATGGAAGTGAAACCTTTTTTGGTAATATTTTTGGTGATGGTCCATTCAGACACTATTTTGGTGCTTCTTGCTAAAATTCTGTTTTCAACTTTTCTTTGTTTTTTAAAGCCACTCCTTACGCTGGACTATTTTCTGGTGACCAAGTTTGCTGAGACAGGTGACGTCAGAGTTACAGTGCAGGCTTCCTGTGGGAGCTCCATGCTTCAGGACTCAAAAGTTGTCCACGTTTTTGGTGAGACATTACTCTTGTTAATTTTTTTGCTTATTTCTCATGCACTTGTTTCTTATACCTCTTAAATGAGCCTTGACATAACTGAACCTGTTGTAAATTTATATCTAATGCCAAATTTAATTGTTAAAATTTGAGGGATGAACTGTTACTAGGTAGCTCCATGAAGTTGAACAGCGTGATTGTATGGAAGGGTTTAATCTGAAATGTGTGGTTTCCTTTGATTATTTTAAATGTTACTGTGGTTCCCAGATACTATGTGTAGCAATAGTGTTTGAGTAGTATTTTGACCTATGACTAGAGACTTTCTTAGAATTTCTAAATAAAGTAGTTTAAATATGTCTGAAAATTAAAATAAAATTTAGTCGTCTGTATACTCTCAGCATTAAACACAATGTGAATTAATTGCCTTTTATCACAATATATCACTGTTCCTTTGTTGTTTTTCTGAGAGTTCGGATCAAGTATAGCTCTGCTGTAATTACTGAATAACCCTGCAGCTCTTGTTTCACATTGTGCCCTGATGTGTTTTGTTGTGTCTTATAATATGGTGACAAGGCATAATATACTGTAAAAAATGTAGTGCAGATGAATTATTTACATTTGTATTTTTGCTGTCACATGTGGGAATTGTGATAAGTAAAAAAGCTTCTTTCTAGTGCAGAGTTAAAAAGCCTTCAGATATCATGAAATACAGAACAAGATACATCTTTACTGTTTGAAGAAAATTCTGTTATTTTTGCTTTTAGTGTACTTATTAATTTAAAATAATGGCAAAAACCACACATGCTAAATGCAGCTTTTGTGAATCTTCTCCTTTCCCAAGATAAATTGATTTAATGTTTATTAAAAACCACTACCATTTATAAGTGCATCCACTTCTTTAGAAATCTTTAGAAGTATAACCCAACTTAGTGTGACTAGATCAATGACTTTGGGTTTCAAATGCCAACGAGTTGGCCGGTCCTGATATCAAGAGCAAGAAAGTGCTGGTCATTAGGGAAATAAAGAAACCTCAGGTAAAGAAAACTGCATTAAAATACAATTCTGTTGGAAGCACTGGGGAGGCCAGGTTTGACTTATGCATTCCAGATTTCTTTCTCTGCTTTGCATTAAGTTCCGCGGGTGTTCATCCAAGGAGGCTATATGGAGAAAGGGAAGGATTTTAGAGACTGTTTACTGAGGAACAGCCCATTTCTGGTATTTCAGATATTTTGGACAGCATTCAGAGAAATGTTATGTGTGTGCCTTGTTTATATTTTTTTTGAAGAGGGCAGTAGTTAGCCTTTGTTATATCATTTATGTTCTTATTTTTGTAGGTAGCTGGTGGAATACATCAAGTATTCATTTTACAAGAAAAATAGGAACATGTAATGGGTAAAAAACACGTTTGTGATTCAGTGAGAATAAAATCCATTGGCACATTCCTATCACAAATAAAAGCAACCATGTCTGTGTGGTGTGTTGTCCTAAGGAAAAATTATTGGGAAGACTTTGACCGCAGACCATGTATGTAAATTTACTTTATTTTTTTTCCTTCCTGTTTTTTTATCTTTAGGCACAAATTTGATGATGCTGATGAAAATACAGAAAGAAATTGAGTGCCTGACAGTAGTGCACTCTTGCTCTGTGCAAGAGTACGCAACACAAAGCAGTGGAGTTCCTGGATACTGCAGCGCTACACAGCAAATAATGCCAAATATATATTTTTAGCTTTTATTTCTTCAAAACTGTCTTTGTAACCTGATTTGTTACTTGTTCAAAAATGTTTATTTTTGTTTTTCTAGATCACTTTCATGTTCTTCCTCTGAAGTTTACGAAGCACCTGGACATGTACAACCCCGACATACCGGAGTGGAGGGAAGACGTAGGGCGAGTAGTGACACGACTTCTTGCAAAGGTGCTCTTTCAGATTGCTCATAAAATGTTCCCTCGCCAGTCGTAAAGCTTGAAGGTTGATGCCTTCTCATTTAGAAAAAAGGAGGCAGAGCAAAATATTAAAGTGAGCCTTATGAGCCACATTTCAAACAAGGTTGACCCTAGTGTCACTTTTACGTTAATGCTGTAGATGATGATATTGTAACATAGGGAGTTTAGGTCTAACACAGCCTAGTTGGCATTTAATGCAAAATATTGCTCTCTGTTATTAGGGATAGAGACACTGGCTAATACTGCTGACTTCAAATGAGGAAGAATAACTTAAATGTGATGTATTTAGTAGTTAAGCAAAGGATGCTGTGTAATATAAAAGACATAGGTTTTGTTTAAAAATAAAGCAGAAAGAAAAAAATTACAATGTCAGTTGTGTAACTTTGAAAATTATATATGATATATAGGCAAGGAGTTCATACAGCTGGTTTTTTAGTTCTTATTCACAAAAGAAATGTGAATTGTGAGTAGTTGAATCCTGTATGTTAAATCAAGTACAAGGACATGCAGCAGTTCTGTGAGATAACTAAAAGCACCTCATAAAAACCATGAGCTCTAGAGCTGTGCTTTCAGGTACCCATGCTGCCAGCCACTGTGCATGCATGGACTTTTTGTGAGGACAATAGCATTGAGGTGCAGGTTGATAATGTTTTGAAACTGATTGTGTTTGAACTCACTTGGCTTTTCCTGGATTTACAGTAGTGCAGATTGGGTTCTGGAATTTTGACTTTATACTTTTCCTGACTTTTTTTTTTTTTAAGTTTACATCAAATGTCAAATTAAATTCTCACTTTTCTCATCTTAAACACATTCCATAACCAGTATCAGTCAAACAAGTGTTATAATCCCTTATAAAATTGCCCTTGCATTTTAGTAATTGCTCAATCATTTGCAAAGGAATATGAACAATTTAATGGAATTTTGGAATCTGTTTGAGAAAGGAATGCTATGGCAAGTGCCCAGTTTGTTGTCATTAGAATTGTGTAGCTGTATTAGACAACACATGGAGGAATTTGGGACTAAAAGAAAAATTTGTGCAAACTATTTTGAAAAGAAATGCATTTGACTTTCAGTGGGCACTGCAGTTATTCATAACAATTTCAGGAACTGAACATAGGTGCTCTTACTCTCATCCTGGAATGCTTCTCTGTCCATTACACACAGATTAAAAATTAGCCTCCCTAAGCTAAAGTTAGCTGTAATGAATATGCCCTTCTAAGTCTACTAAGTGTCCAAATGGCCCTCAAAGGATCCTGAATCACTTAGGATTTTTTTTTAATGTTACCCTAGAAATGCACGGCCATTACAGAGTTTTGCTAAAAATGCATACCACTTCATTTTCCTTCTTTCCATGATGCCACTAAATCTCTTTAATGTGATAGCAATGCTTAGTTTTTCCAGTCTTCAAAGAGCAGCTCACTTTTCAGTTAATTTATGTTTGGCTTTGTTCATGTTTTAGCTTCTGCTGGAATCCTCTCTAAATATTAAGGATCTGAACACTAGAAACTAAAAGACATCTGGAGTTACTTATATATTTTCTGTAAAATATAATGCATACTGTCCTATAATTTGCCATACGCCGTTGTCTTCACAGGAAACCAATATATCCGAAGAAACACTCATGACAGTCGTGAAACCTGGTCTGCCCACAACTGCTGACTTGCATGTGCTACTACCAGCAAAACAACCGAAAAGGAAGAGGAGTGTACCTGATGATAAGGTAACCAGAGCAATGTTATGCCTGGGTAGGACAGTCTTCATTCTCTTTGGCAGTTAGCAGCTGTACTCTCATTGTCTTTATGTGAAATTAAAAGTGCTCGCTATGTAAAGATCTCACTCCCACCTGACAAGAGGCGTGTAAAAGCTAGCAACAGTTACGACTGCTGTGTTTGATGATGTATAGACCAGCATAATCTAATGCTTACTGGTATTAGTGTATTTCTCAAGAATAACTAATATCGATCTACTTTTTAAACAGAAACAGCAGTGATGGCATGTTGGTCTGTGAAGATCTGTAGAGCAAAGAGTGCATTTCGAACACTGATATTTCTAAAGAGGGATGAACCATCTCTGCACTGTCTTCAGAAGCAAATTAGATTTCAGGTCAAATAGAAACAGAACCTTAATAGTTTACCTATAATGTAAAGAGCATCAAGCAGGTAGTTTCTGCCTTTATGAGCAAATGTCCTTTTCAGTTGGCAAGAAATAAATATAGTGAACGCAGGAATAAAAATCAGACATTAGTTTCTTCCTACTTATTTCCAAACCATATTTCTTCCATAATAAAAGACCTTATGCCAGGTGAAAATCAGAAGACTGGCATTTATAATTTATGATATGAGTCATTTTGCTGTGACAGAGGGGGAACAGATCCCAATACTGTACCTGTGTCTTTTTGAGACAAGGTCACAATATCCAAAAAACTGGAGAAGTAGCTAAGAGACAGCTCTTCATATTAACACTAAACGACTAGATTGTGTTTGGCATTGATGGGGTACGCTTTGGAAGGTCCAAAGGAGGACGTCGATGTTGTCGAAGTACTTGAACAGGTTTCTTACTTAAAATGCACAGAGTACAGTTTGAATGTATGAAACTTTCTGCTTTGTGGCAACCCCCAACCCTTACTGCTCTCCCTCTGTAATCACAGTGGGAATTCCTGGGAGTCTGAAATCCTGATTATGTTGCAGGAAACAGTTAATTTTAATATCTTTCCAACTCTTGAAGAAGGAAGATGCAGCTTCTAAAGGAAATTATTTTGTTACATTCTGAGCATATATGGAATAGACTTCTTTAATAATTTAAGGGAACTGATGGTGATAGATTCATAGGTTGTGCAAACATTTTATTTCAGTGCAAAGTGTTATGCATATTAGTTCCCTTTAAATCTCAAGTGTTATATTAGCACTGTGCTTCAAGGCAGCTTAATATCATCAGTTATAATCAATGCTCTCTCAAGGCTTTTTTCATATTTGTGTATGAAATATCCTGTGGGTTGCTCCAAAGCATAAAGAAGAAGAACAACCACGTGTTGCAAATGATTTGGGAAGACTTTTGTTCAGTGGGGGTAGGGGGAAATTACAGTAGTTTAGCAGGACACGGTTTCTGTAACAAATAGTCCTCCGGTAAGACCTTGCGAAGGTTTGCTGAAACTGGAGGAGCACTGAAAGGTGAAAGTAATTGTATAATCTGGAGAACAGATGTACATTTCTGGCATTGTTAGGATGGACTAGGTCAGACCAGTGGTGGTTGGAGATTGCACTTACAGAAGTACCAAATATGGTACAACCTTCATTTGGTTGGAGCAGGAACAAAGGGAGACAAGTGCAATTACAGCAACCTGTGCTATCCAATGACAAAAAATAAGGTACACTAGTGTCACATTTCAACACCGATTGCTTTATAGAGTACAGTGCCATAGACCCAGTCTTCTAGTGTCAGCTGCCTAAATTTCTGTTTATATATTATTGCTAAGGGACACTATAGATATTGATTTGTGTATATGAATTTGTTGATTTATGATCGAATGGTATGAATTTTGATAAAATGCATTGTATCAGAATCCATTGTGACTTGAGCAATATCCTGAAAATACACCCTATGTAAGTAAACTTAGAAGCGGTAACTGGTTAGGTCAACAGGACAATACTCATGATGTCAGTTTAAAGATTTGTTACATTCTCTTCTGTTACCAGAAGAGAATCTTGAAGGTCTTCATCATGTTTTCATCACTGGAAAGATGTACTTGGTCATGCTGCTAGTGCCAGCTCTCAAAGTCAGTGTTGTGACACTGTTGTGAGGACTCACCAATGCAGAATGTTTTCTGCACGTTTGGAGGAGGTGACCTTGAATTCCTTAATTTAGACATAGTTATGAAATGTCTTCCCTTAAAGATAACCTATTTGTTCTTGGCTGAAAACCTTTTAGATTTGGGATATTATGTGATTTCAGAAGGACTGTTAAAGGCAATAATTTATTGGTCAGAGAACACCTACTTGGTAGGGTTTCTATTGGTGTTTTACATGGAGTATTGTGATGTGATGCTATTTCTTAAGTTAGTGGTCTAGAATAGGAGTCAGTTGTATCAATATGGTAAAAGGCAGTGATAACGAAGATCATATGTAAGTTGACAGTGTAGTAGGAAGAGCCTTTTGGATAATTCTGAAGTTTGGTTCCACTCTGACAAAAGCCCTTTTTCTTTCCAATTTATGCATGTAGAAATAGCCAAGTATGTTTTAACCTGGTTTTAAGAGCACAAAAATTTCAAAAGTATTTGGTTCTAATAATTAACTCTAGAGGAAGATTCAGTCGCTTAATTTATGCATGTTTATTGCATGTCCAATGTCAGGTGGGATGAGTCCAGTTGAAAGAGTCAGTGCATTTAAACTATAGCCTGGAATGCAGTGACTGTGAGGAAGATTTAAGGGCTCTATGTAGACAAACTACTACATGAAAATTCCCAGTGAGTTGCTTTGGCAAAAAGGGCAAGTCACGCCCCAAGAAGTATTAGTGAGTGGGTAAGAGTTTGAATAATATCATTATTTTTGATTTGTTATACGACAATGCTGGAGCTATTGTGTTCACATGTTCAAATACGATCAATGGAAAGGATGTAGAAAAGGAAGATAGAAAATTCAAATGCTGGTATAATAACCTTAACGTAGAGAGTCTAGGGAGCAGCTCCAAACACTGGATTTGTTTTTTAAAAAGTTGGAGAGGTGACAACACTGTGCTTGATAAATACCTTGAGGCAGGAAGCAAAAATCAAGAGTACTGAAATAACCGTCAATCTAACAGTGAAATAAATAAGCCAGACCCATCTCACAGAACATGAGATTCAAATTTTTGACTTAGAGAAGTGTAGTTAGTATAGGCTTGGGTGGGAACCCAGGGGTGGGGAGACAAATGATGAACAAGTGTTAGGCACTTAAGCAAAACCAGAGCAAATGTTGGATTCCTCAAACAGCTGCCATGAAAATATGATGGATCCGAAGTTATGGGACTCAGTAATTTAATTTACTGGCTAAAAGTCAGATTAGCCTAAAGTACTGGTCCCTCTTGCATTGTATACAATTAACATGTGAATGAAACTGGACTGAGACTAACTCACTTTATTTCAGTGATGCCAGCGTCACTTTAAAGGCTGCTAATCAATATAGTTGTCGTATCCATTCTCTTTTCAGACTTTGGGCAAAAAAAGATAAATACTTACAAGCTATCTGGAGTAACTGTCTTATAAAAAAAACTGAGGCCATGCTCACATCACCCTTATATTGAGTCATTCCCCCACAAAAAATGAAATAAAGTCAGTGGAATGGCTTCAGAAGTTAAATATTCCTTAATATGAGTGAGTATATTTGAATTTTAACTTTTGTGTAGTCTCTGTCCATAACATGAGAGAGACTACAGAAATTTCTATCTATTACACTGCAAAGATTTCTCAAAGTTGAGGACCATAATTGATAATATCATAAAAGGAGTTACTTTTGAAGGTTTCATGGATATAAAGCATATTTCTACTTTGGCATCCTGTTGGAAGTCGTATCCTAAATTATAAGGCACAGAGTATAAAAACTAGCTTTGATCTTTTAGAAAATTACCCATGTTGAAGACACAAGTAGAACAGAAAATTCAGGCTATTTGTCATCTGGGATTAGGATATGATGGTGTATTTAATGTTTCTGCTCCATAAAAATGTGAGAGACCGTATTTTACCGTGCTCTATCCACTAGAGAATAATAGGAGGAATCCTGATTTTTTCCACATGGGTGGATATATATATTTCTACAGAGTACTGTTAAAAATGAGGTATAAATGGAATCCATCCCATTATAGGTAAGGTGATGAGGTAAATTATGACATGCATTTCATTATGAAATAGCTGTTGCTTTTCATAGCAAGAAATCTTAAGTGACATTGCAGGTTTTGTTCTGATAGATTAGAAGAATGGAGGGTTTCTAATATGGATTATGCATCGCATGAGTTATGACCAAGGTAAACCCAATAATGCGCACAAATGACATGCTGTCTGTCACCTACTGGGTAAATGTAAAGGCTTTGGTAAGCAGAAAGAAAGATTTGGCCATAAAGATTTGACATTTTCAGCTCTTATGGCTTGTGGAGTTTTGCATGATTTTTAAGTATGGATTTTCTTTAGGATTTCAGCTCATCATTGACAAATGCTTTCTGAGTTTCTCACCATTTAATGAACAGAGGTTTTCCTTTTTAGAGCATTAAGTCTCTCAAAGTGGAATTGAGTGTGAGACATCTGACATTTTCTCTGTTGTATTTTCAGAGGATAGCAACTATAAAGCAGGCCTTGAATGCACACAACATCAGTTTCTTTCTGAGGGGAGGATACTGGGTCTTAGTGACTTTAGCTGACTCCGGTTCAGGTAAATATGTAAACAAAGCTCCCAACAGACCAACCTGCTTGTCTGTGTTCTGAAAAGTTAAGAAGAAAATCTTTGTATCAATAGACGTGTGTGCATATACACACATACATATATACTTGGTGCTTGTTACATCTAGATATACACATAAATATATGTGTGTGTATATAAATGTATGAAAATGTGTATACACAGACACTCACACATGTATATATGGATGTATTTTCATTTGGTACTTGCTAACAATCACCACCAACTAAATATTTCTTACATAATTCCATTTTGTCAAAACCTCATTATTTGTTTCAGAAGGTTCTTGCTTTTTTTTCCTGTGTCACCATGACATACAAAACAGTGCCTCAAAGGAAGAGCCAACCAGGCTTCAGAAAAGCCATCTGGTGAAGCACTTTGGCTGCCCTGGCAGCTGAAAAAGCAGAGCTGCTTTCCTTCAGCCATTGACTCCCCAGATATAACCCCTGTAGTCTGGGACATAGTCTTGCATTTCTGCCTTGTATCTCTGATCTTCAGGTCAACTGATGTGAACTTACTGTAGGATCTCCACATTGCTAATCCTGTCCTGTGATAAATTATATGCTTCTTCTGTGTTTAAAATGAATGGAAATAGGGTTTTTTGCATGCATTTCCTGCATCTCTAGATTCCCCTGGAAGAGAGTTTAAGAGAGTATATATGCATATGTGTATGCATTTTGAATAGAGATACATTAAAATGATGTTTTACCCAGAAAGTTAAACTTTGACATGAACCTTGTATTAGAGTGTCCTGTAATTTTTGTTTGTATATCATATCCCATAATATATCCTTCTTTCTTATTTCAAAGTGTTGTGGGAAAGTGGCTTAGCTGACCACAATCAATTTCTGTAAATACTGGTGTGATATTTTATCTGTCAGCTTTCTGTAGAAGACAAAGCTCTTTTATCCAGTCTCTAATGTAGAATTGTGCCACAGTGCTGCTGTGGTACCTCTTCTGGTTTAAAGGGCTAGCATTTCTTAGCACAAAAGGCTGGGATTGAAAGAAACCCATGTTCATTCCAGCCTTTACCAACATATGACCTTGATGAGTTAATTTGTTGTTGAGAGCCTTAGATTCTCCATCTGTGAAATTAATACAGCCTTGCTTTTGCAACACATGTACTTAGGGCATGTGATAATTTCCTATAACTTTAGATTCCCAGAAAAAAACCCCAGTAAGTATGCAAATAATTAAATCTTCAGGGCTTCTTTTGGTTGTTGTTGGTTTGTTTTTTTTAATTGGTCCTCTATCCTTCAGTCACAAGTCACCAATTAATTTTGTGTTGTTGCCTTTTTGAAGAGGCTACAGATGGAGCGAAAAGAAAAGGTTACGCAAATAACAAAAAATGGTTCTGACCTGACAATTAGATAGAAAAGAAAACCCAAGAGTGCAATTGATCTGAGAGAGGATGTGCTAAACTGTTGTTTTATTTTGTATTTCAGACTCTCAGAGGATTGGAGGAGGCAGTGGCTACTGGGCTCTTGTGGTTCTCTTTGTTATCTGTCTAGTCGCAGTTGGGGCTTTTATCCTCTACAAGTTCAAAAGGCAAGTAAACTTTAATCAGCAACATATACATTTTAAAAATTAGTTTTATCCACAGATCAGCAAAACAGAGTTTGTTATTTGGAAAGGAGATTTCTTGAAGAATTGCAGAAGGTCCACCGCTTTGAAAATCGTGTTTTTCTGAACTTTTCAGACATCAAGGTACTGCATTGATGCTTGCTTTCACATGCTACGTTCCAAGATAAATAGCAACAGTATGGGAACTATGGAGAGTTTGTTCAGCTTGTCTAAATAATATCATCAAGAAAGAGAGTTAAGCTAAAATGCTATTCCTGATTAATACCTACCTCATTACTCTTAGCAGTTATGAAACTAAAGCTATCGGAGAAAATGAGTGCATCTGCAATGCTGATTTGCTTAAAAAAAGTAGTTTTATTAAAACACGTAGCTCTCTGCAGTTTGTCTTCACACACATTACATTTTAATTGCTGGGGCAATGCCACATAGAATGCATGATGGAAATAGAATGGCGTTAATTTGACACTAGAGTGTGTTGAGGGGAGAAATAATTCTCAAAGTGGCCTTTTTGGGAGACATGTTCCCAAAACTGACAGGAGATACCATGCCAGCCTTTGGCGGTCCAATAGGTCTTTAGTTTGCTATTTATTTTAATCGTAGCTACTGGGGTGCTGTACATTTTAAAGAATTTTTTTCTTGTTGACGAGTTTGTGTAATCATTGGCTGTGCTCTTGTTATTTTTGTATCTCTGGGGCATTTAGAAGCTATTGGGTTTGAGCATACTGGAAAGAAGCCTTCATCATCATCAAATCCTGATGTCCTTCCTCAGTGAGGAGTGATTTGTCTCATTCTTTGAAGATTGATTTTTATTTGAAATAAACATAGGTTCATAGAAATGGATGCAGTGCTGAGTTTGTGATAGCAATAAGCATAGATAGCTTTTAAGAAAGAGTTTGTGTAGAAAATATTTCTTTAAGTCAATAGAGAAACCTCCTTTTTCCAACAATCTCTTCATTTTGTCACTACAGCACCTAAGTTTCATAGAGCTCATAGTGACTAATTAAAGAAGAAAGCACAGAATGCTGTATCAGACTGACTACAATTGAATAAAAATACATTTCGCTATTTTAGGTGCCTGCAGCAAGGAAAAGCATAAAAATGGTTGATGTGATGTAATTATATTACTTCAGTAGCAATACATGGAGGATTTGCCGTTTGTAGTGTGGCATCGTAAAACTTGCTCGTGAAATCTTTTGAAAGCTGTATGGTTTATATCCTTTATTAGCTCTTAAATGAGAGCAATTAAGTAACAGACACACTACTGCATGGCAAAAAAAAATATAAATATTCAAGAAAGGAAGAAAAAAATTATTTTCCTTGAGTTCTTTCTTAAATGCCCAGTGAACCATTGCTTTATAAATAGAGCTTTTATTAAGGACGAAACTATAGTACAATTTGCAAATTGTGAGCTTTAATGTCTCTCCTACTTCTGTATAATTTGTGAAAATCATTTGCATTTAAATTCTGTGAGGCTTTAATTCAATTGCAAGTGAGGAAAATGGTGAGATATATTCAAATGTTTCTCAGTAGCCTGAAAACTGCTGTTGGCATTGATGAATGACCATGCAGTAGCATTCAATTTTAGTCTGTAACATATCTATTTCTGAGATATTTGACAGAATTATTTTTAAATATTCCTGCTACTTTTTTTCCAATATGACATTTTTTTTGTTTCATCCTTCATTTGCAATTTGATTTTCAGATAATATTGAGCACCTAATCATTACTACGTTTGAAAAATCACTTTCTTCCCATGTGCTCCCTGTGAACTCCTCTCCCACCAAAATCTTTAATCCATTAAAAAAGTCTTTCCGGTGTCTATAAAGTTGGATGGTGAATTGCTCTATCCTCACAGAGTACTGACTTACAAGTATAGTCCCTTTAAAGTCAGCACAGTGAGTATGTAAGTTTACAAACTGGTCTATAGGGACTGAGACTATGAAACTGAGTGTCCTTTATAAATATAAAGGTTACAGGTTGTAATGCCTAAAGGCAGCTTGTCAATATCGTGTGCCTGTATATTAAAAATTAATTTGCTGAAAGAATGCCGTAGGTAACAAAAATTATTCAATTTTAGGAGATAATTTCAGCAGAAGAACAGTTTCTGGGCTCTATGGTAACTCAGCTAACACATGGAAATATAAATATGAATTATTTCCACATAGGAGTTACAGATCTGTATAAGGTGTTGAAATGTTAATTCTGTCCGTAATTTTTATGTATGATTCACAACATTAAGGAGAAGATGGAAGATATTTGGTGGTGCTTTCCTTTTGTTTATGTAAGTGGATAGTAAGATATTCTCTTCAGAAAAGGGTTAAACTCCTTTTCCCTCCTTAGTCAAACAAAGGTTTATAAATCTTGGTTTTATCACTACCTGGAAATATGCAAGATGTAAAGGCTGGTTTGCGGATAAGATGGTGAGTGGATTGGCAGGGAGGTTACAGCTTCATATGTGAGAGCATTTCATCCATTTGCAACGAGCAGAGGCACTGGTTCAGGACTCGTAATGAAAAGTAGAGAAAATACTGAACTTCTATGTAGATTGTAGTACAGCTTCCATAGAAAATGGAGAAACCCACCCAGCTGCCCAATGGTTCCTGAGTGCCAAGGCCCCTTGTCCTCAAGTGTGGTCACTGCCCTCCCTGCCAGGATTATCTCTGAAGTTCACATCGTAAGAACTCAGATCATAATTTACACTCATTTTTGTCAGGCAAAATTGCAAGATAAAAGACAGTGTTGGCAAGACATCAGGGAGTAATCTAATACCTCTTTTTTATGAATCTTGCAGGGCAATCAGGACAGCTATGATGAAACTTGCTGCTCCTGTTTGATCTGCCAGTTTTTGAAAACTGCAATACCCAGCACTAAAAATTGGTGTCCCTCGCAACAAGTAAATCTCACAAAATTAGTTTTAGGGAGAGCAGTAATCTAAGAATATCAGTACTGAATAAGATTCTGTGTCAGATGCCTCATATGTAGAGAATGAAGAGAGTATTTTATCTTATTAAATAGGGGGGTAGGGGAAAAACAGAGGCAGAATCATATAGATGTAGTGGGATTTTGGCTGATTAGGTGTATTAGGGTTGGACTAGATGATCTTCAAAGGTCCCTTCCAAACCAATACATTCTATGATTCTAAATGCTTCGTAAAAATCAACAGAGTCTCATAAATCCTGAATGAATGGCCATTAAATGCAAATATTAAAATTGTATTATTTGCCACTAACCAAAACTAAATTTGTAGGGTCTGCTGGATAATCAGAGCTGTCATGACTGTCTAGGTAATGATGAGGTGACTGCAGGTTACATCGTTTTCAATATACCCTAATCCCAAATACTTAAACACTGACTAAGCCAGCTGCTGCCCTCTGTTCTTATATACAGTAAAATTGCAAGCATTTATCATTTTGTCTCCCCACACTCCCGCCACTACACTTTATCTAATGGTCTATTTGTGCATCCAACCACTTCTCCCCAGGAACATGTGCTCAAAAAAATGGTGCAGGTGTCCCCAGAGCTCATGGAGGGACTCCGTACAAGGCTGAAAGAGCTTAGTTGCTTTAGTCTTAAAAAATAGAAAGCCAAAAAGTCTTGAGATATACAGGGTTTAGATACTTTGTGATCAGAGTAGGTAAGCAGTTCAGATTAGGGCTATTTTTACCCAGTAAATGAAAGGTAGATTTTATATTATAAGTGCTGATAGTTTTGAAAACTAATTCTGGACATATTCCACTAATGAAAAAAAGATTGGTTTAGATAGTTTTGAGGGAAATTTTCAGGATGGTATTAAGGAGCAAGAGGTAATACCCTAGCTGCTAAATCTGACTGTGTCTGTGGCACAAGAGGCAGCGCAGACAAGGAACAAGGATGGCAGGCAAGGCAAGAATAATTTGCTTTTTCTTTGCTTTTACTTTCTGAGTATGGAAATTGCTGATGTGATGCCTCAAGCAAACAATATGTTACAATACTCACTGGTACGCTTCAGTTGTTTAAGCATCCAGGTACAATGGACTACAGCTGCTTCTTTTGACCAGAACAATATGAAGCAGCTGGAAAATATATTTGACAAATCTAGTCTATTTTTTTAATGCAGACCTGGGACGTCCATATTTTTATTTTTCTGTACCATACTATCTTTACTGGATTTGGCTCAGTAAAAACACACTTCTTCCATTCCCTTTGAAACAATGTTCATATTCTTTGTGGGTTTCAAGTCTCCATCCAGAAGAGATTTCTTCATCCTTTCAGAGCAAGCTTCTGTGGTGTGGGGTCCTGGGCAACAGTACAGAGAAGGCAAATAGCACTAGGCAAAGTGGAGGAAAGAAAAATTGTGATTTAGCCACATCAGAGCTGCCATGTAATCATCATGTTAATAGTGGAAGGTCTGAAATAATCCTTTTCTTATTTTTTACTTCTGTATAACAACAGGATATTAAAGTACCCAAACCAGAGCAAATAGTTGGCTTGTCTGCTTATGTATTTTACCTGGTTAATAGTAGCAAATTTGATTCTCTAAAAGAGTATAAAAATCTTCATCTTTTCATTTGCACGCAAACAACTGCCAGTGTACTTAAACCTGCATACGTTGTTTTCACAAATTGCCATGAATCTACTTCAGCCAAGTTTATACCATTTTGTGTGTATCCGTTTTTTCCCCACTACTATCAAGTGCCACTTTTGGTAAATGAGCCCCCTCCTGGGTCATTTCTACAATCTGGAGCAGAACTGTGTTATCTTTCTGCCTCATTGACTTACGATCTCATTTTCAGTCTCTGAAGAAAAGCTATCTTTTTTCCCCACCTTGCTTATACTACCTTTATGTTCCATGAGAGCAAGTTTAGTCCCAATCCATGCCATTTAGTTATAAAAAAAAGTCACTAATTTAATGATCCACAATATTTCATAAAAACTTCCTCAGAAATCAAAGTAATAGCATGTAGAAAAGATTTCTGAAATGAAAGAGGC